GCGGGCAGATGCTGCTGACTTTGTGTCAGCTGTGCCCGAGGAGCTGGAGGTGCCAAGGGAAGGGAAGTGTCTGACGCTCAGCTGTGCCTCCCATCTCTCGGGCAGAGCCTGAAATTGTTACTTCTAGCTCCTGGGTTTTTCCATCTCCTGCTTGTGATATTTCAGCCACACAGTGTTCTGCTTTCTCGTGTCATGTTTCTGACTCTCGGTATGAACAGCCTGTAATCTGTCAGAGAAATATCTCACGATCTTTCAAAGAATTCGTTAAAACTCTCAGGGTTCTTTTGTTTCTTTGTGTTATTTTTGCACACCTCTTGACAGCTGGTGCTGCTGCTGTGCTGAGGGAGTGCTTTATCGTGATGACTGTCGTTGCCCGGTTGAATCATGCCTTTTGCTGTGTGGATGTCGATAGTGCTCTGTCTTTTTGGCAAGCTTGGTGTTGCAATCTCTGGGAAGTAAAACTTTTGCAAGCTAGGAACATCCTTTGTTACATGTTTCTAGACTAAAAGTATCAGACTGCCGTCCTGACTCATGACAATTCTGGCCTTAGGTCTGATACAGGTATGTGTGATCCTGGTGGAAGATGAATTCCCAGTATCATTTTAGCTTTGTTTTCTGTTACTCTAGTAAGTATTTTGGCAAAATTCATGCCCGGCTTTATTTGCAATTCGTGTTTGTGGAAAGCGAGAAGCACTTTGGATGCAAATGAGCTCAGCATTCTTTGATTTCACCTTCTGGAAATGGGTGGCAGTGGAGCAAAGGGCTGGAGATGATCTCAAGCTCCTGGCAGATGTGATTATCCTTTCAAAGATGTCATCAGCATCCTCCCACGGTACTCCTAGAGGTGGATCGGTATCGGTGCGTCTGCCAAGCTGTTCGTCTGCCAAGCTGTTTGCAAATAAGTTTGTCATGGGTAATTAGGAGCTCTTTGATTTCAGGCCTGTTAGCTGGAATCCACGGCTGAAGGACTTGCCCTAAAGTAACAGCGTGGGGTAACCTTGCATTCCGGTTTAGGATGCTGGTGTCACACCCAGCAAGTTTTAGTGAGCCCTGGGTGCCTTTAACTCAGAATCTGGTCAGGAACAAATCCATTTAATGTAGGGGAAACAGCTTGGGGAGCTTATAATGTGTATTCATATTAGCTCCAAGATTCATTGATGCTTTTTTTAGAAAAGAGCTCATCTCGGCTTTTTTTGTCTTTGCACTGCTATGGTGTTCTCTGCCTGCCCTACATCTGAAGTCAAATAACACTGAGCTTTTTAGGATGATGCATCTGAGGCCACTTTCTCAATCTTTAATCCTTACTTATTCGCATAAAACTTGTGAGTTACTGAGTAATGCAAAGTATTTTATAGAGCTGTACAGTTTGGGGCTTGGTTTTTTTGTTTTGGTGGGGTTTTTGTGGGTTTTTTGTGGGGTTTTTTGGTTGGTTTTTGTTTTTTGGGTTTTTTTTTTTGTTACTGTGCTTGAACATTTGTCTCAACAAAAAGCTTTTTCACAAGTTGAATGTTGCAGCTCCTGCAGTGACAGCTGCCTGTACAAACTGTCCATTCCCAGCGGGAAGACTCCCAGGTCTGGACTTTTCTGTGGAACCCAAAACACCCATGGAACTGAATAATTTAGAAGGAGTAAATGCAACTGATGAAAGATTTAAACGAGGTTCACCTAGCAAGGAATACTCTGTGCAGACAGTTTTCTGACCCATAGTGATTCAAACATTTGACCTCTTGAATAATCCTGTGTGTGAATAGCATGTTTGACTCACACGCACACTGAGGCTAAATATGGCCTTTCCTCAGCTAGAAGGTCGAAGGGCAGGCTTTGCATACCCTAGGCATTTAAAAAGGAAGAATTCCTAAAAAATGCAACAG